GTGCTCCAGACTGATTGACAAAACATGCCGTTTCTGGGGCTTCACGTGGAGTCAGTGGAGCAGTGGGCGGGGATGGAAGCCGGTCTTCTGCATGATGATTGTCCTGGGTGAAGAAAGACAGGCGGTCGTCTGCTGTTGTCATGGTGACAGAGAACATTTCTAGTTGTACATAGACTGGAGAGAACAGTTGTACATTTGAGTTCTCTCACGTTCCTGTCGTGGTTCTGTTTCCTCCTTGTTGTCGTTGGTTCATTTTCCTTTATCCTGGAGAGAAGGGTTTGGGTTCGAGTCCTTGAACCTCAGCATCTCCAGAGTTCCCTGTTGTACAGAACAAACACATGTTTAATATTTTTAGTCATGGAAGATGTAGGAACACTGAGACGTGGCTTTGGTTTGCACTAAGAATAAATTATCGACTTAAGTGAAATCTGTTGTTTATGTCTGGAGGTAGAGTTGTTTTTTTAAGCTGTGCTTTTATTTTGAAGTGATTGTCTTTTATTTCACGTTTACGTATTTAAAGTGAGTTAATTTTAAAATCGTTTTTGCTACAGTTCTGACACCTGAATAGAACGTGTACTCTGTGTTGCATGTACTCACTCAGTAAATATCCATGCAGTACAGCCGGTGTTGTGGTGTCACTCAGGGAATATCATTGATCTAAAAACGACATTTAAATTTATTCTTTTAAACCCATTAGTAAAATGTCTTAAACAAACCAGGAAGTATAATATATGTAGTACAGTACATACCTGTTATCTTAAACAAACCAGGAAGTATAATATATGTAGTACAGTACATACCTGTTGAATACTTTGCAGGTGTTTTGCCAAAATGCCAAACGCTGCTCAAAGCCTGGGGCGCTCACACTTTTTTGACCCTGTCAAATGATAGAAAAAAAAACAAAGATGTCAATAAATATATACATATATACATATGCACATGTACATTACTATACATACATATATATACGTGTGTATGTATGGTCACTGTTTTACTCCAGGTAAGAGGATTACACTATTTTTATTGACCCTGCACTTCTTCTGTGATCTTTCAGACTTTGACCCTGATCCTGAAAATGAATGCGCTTAAATCTAAATTTCAGATTTTCACAGTGACCACGGCGGAGGTAACACAGAAATAGAATGAGTTTTCATGTGGTGAAGTCATCTTTCTGTACTTTAACTCTTCCTTATACTTATACTCTGTGTACTTATAGCTGTAAACAAAAAAGATTAATAATGAAAAAGTAGCGAGCACTAGTGTGACCCCTGCTGGTGCAGATACGGGTAGAGGACGTGGACGCCTGTGTTTCGCAGCGTTACTCACTAAAGTCACACTGCCGTCTGTCTTAATTTCAACATTTACTCTGATGTCCTGTAGTTGTATTCTGATGCTTAACACACATTCTGTATTGTTGCCCACTTATAGAACTGTTCCCCTGTGCCACTGACCTCAGCAGTACTATTTAAGACTTGTATGGAACTGATTTTCTTTGTTTTGTGTTCCAACAGAAGAATAAACTTTTTCAACATCATCCGCAGTTGCATCAATGCTGTCGTCTCAACATTTAACTGAGCAATAAACACAAACACCTTGTAACGGCCAATCAGAAGCTGCCGTCCCTACACACATGCAAGCTGACTCATGGTTGGACTAGTGACTGCTGGTTTCTGCACAGGTATGATGATGATAATCTATTGTTAAAAAAATATATTAAATATCCCAAATACAAAAATAATGAACTTTATCTTATTTATGATGACTATTTTTTCTGAATTTTAACCACAAAAATGGACAAAGCTAAGTATTTTAAGACAAATTAGTGCATTTTAGTCATTTTTGAAGATTTATTTAGGAACTTATTGGTATAGTATTTTAATGTGATCAAAAGTTGACTTACCAAAAAGTTACGTTAAATTAGGGCATTTAGAGATTTTTAGAAATTTATTTGTTAAATGTTTTTGCAAAAATATGAACTTTTTATGTAAATTTTGTCAAGAACAATAACATTTTAAAGAAACATTTTGTAAAATTATTTTAAGTTTTAAGTTTTACCTTTTCCTGCATGCTTCTCATAGAATTAGGGCATTTAAGGAAGATTTTAAGAAATTTATTTGTTAAGTTTTTTTTGCCAAAGTATGAACTTTATATGTCATTTTCTGGTCAAAAACAAACATTTTTGAAATTTTTTTTTTTTTTAATTTTCTGTAAGAATGTGAACATTTCGTGTCATTGTTGGTCAGAAACTAAAAGACTTGAACACTTTTTGGACTTTTAAA